TAACTTATTTACCATACCTACATGCTCTCTGACTTATTCTGATTTAGCTTAGCTTTAATGTAAGTAGTGTTAAGTGACTTATAAAAATTAGAAACATCGAATGCACATTTGCAGAATGCTAAAATTGAATGAATGAATATTTCTATACTTATATTTTTTGCGCTTTGTTTTTGCCTTTATTAAACTTGAATTCCGGTATATACATCTACTTACTAAATTAGTTACACTTCAGTTTTCAGGCCAAATAAATTATAACACAATGCAAGAAGCTCACAAACAACATGTGTGCTCACGAAAACTGTGACTGAATCAATTAATTTTGTAGCAAAAATTTCAACAACCAGAAAATAAAAAATATATATAAATACATGCAAAATCTTCCTACAACGCTGCGTGATTCAAAATTAGCGTCTTTCCTCTGGGGGTGTTTGCTGGTTCTGTACTACCACAGGGAAAATAGTTCTAGAAATCAGTTTTAATCCTAATTAAAACTGATATATTTGGAGAAAACTTGATCAGAAATTCGGCAGCAATATTTTTCAAGATAATATGCCTCACTAACATTACGCAAATACGAGTTGTTTCTTAAATACAAAAAAACTCAAGCAAGGGCGGATCCAAGGGGAGTCATGAAGGTCATGACCCCCCCGTTGTGCTGGGATTATATCGATATATATTTTCTGGTAAAACAGGAAACTTTTTGAAATACTTCTTCTTACTAATAAGAGCATTTTCTTACAGCCTTGGACCGTTCATATTTTAGGATGTTTATCACTTATTTTAATAATTATATCATTTCAAGCTACGTTGTGAATAAGTCAAAATACATTTTTAATATATATTAACTTCTAATTAAAGTATTTATTTTCAGCTTTTAACTGTTCATATTGTATTGTATTTATTACTGGTTTTTCTAGGATAAAATTTTTTTCCAGTTCATCACTTTTCGAAATGTCTTACTTTACGAATTAAAGTTTTCGTACAGCTTTACAATACTCGGGTGTCAACTTTCGAAAGCAAGTGCGGTAGTTTATTCGGCTTGCGAATTGCAAGATTTTAGTTTTCTATTCGCAGTAAATTTTTATTGAGTGATCAAGTGCCGTGTGCCATTTTCGATGATTAATGGGCAGAAAATGGAGGATGGGGCGCCAGCTTGCTGAAAGCTGACAGGAATGATTTCTAAACTATAAATCCCTTAGTTTGAACTGAATACTTTTTCGAATGGCAACTGAAGTTTTATCGATTCTTCTTTATTTCTCTCTTCTTTTAAGGATTCTGTCTGATTTTGAATAACATTGCTTTAGACAGATTGGCTGTTGTTCCAAACAGTTTTTCTTCTTTCTTTCCAGGTAGCACGATGCAGCTTTCGGCAAGTAAAGCATTGCATTGACTTGCCCCTGGTTGCCATGCAGTTTTAGAGCTTTTACCTAAATTTCCAACGTAAAACGTTTCGACGTAAATTTTCAACTTTTTAAAATTGCCACTACATTTGTAAAATTTAAACAGTGCGTGTTCGATGAAGATATAATAATCGAAAACACTGTACACGTGATTAATGCTATCAATTGGGGAATTAAATTAATTAGAACTTGCTTACGTTTTGGACCATGATTTTGCATTATTCAAGTAGTCTGCATCTCTGCTCTCTCTCTCCATAAATGAATAAAAGTAAAAAATATTGGAAGTTGTTCGGAAACATGTCAGAATTCCTCATCTGTTTAGTGTCTGGAAAAAATCTAATCCGACGGGATTGTTAAGGAAGTTTTGTGTGTATGGAAAACTTACCGCTCTAAGACTGTGAATCGGAGAGGTTCGTAAACGTCTCCCAGAAGAGTAAAAGCTTTCTCACTTAGGAACTATGGTTGGAATATGAAAAGTATTGCTATTTTTTACCACAGTTCCCTTGAAAATTAGTCATTACGGCATCATCATATCAACACAGCAATCAAAACTAAGCCATACTAAAGAAAAATTCATAAACTAACGTAATTTCAAAAATTTACAATCTCGTTATGCTTGTGTTCTACTACAACCACATTGAAATATGTATATTTAATCATCTAGTTTATCTCACATCAGGCACAACGTAATTACTAACAAGTCGTTACTTCCATATTTCTTCCAAGTCGTAAATCTTCCAAGACTGGATATATATCCACTTAAATAAGTGAATAGAAGAAAAGTGAAAATAATATGAAACAGCTTGACCTTGGTTGGACAGTAATATATAATCTATTTAAAACTGGCTTAAACACGATCAACCCATTGGTTATTACATTATGACTGTAAGAAACAAGAGTCATTTAATCGTTGCTCAACTTTACATATCCGAATGAAAGAATGTTTTAAAAATCAATAACAATAACGCCACTTGACCTATTTGAACCGATATAATTAAAGTGACTACATCATTACTTTGTGGTATTTTATAGCGATTTTTAATACAACTTCAAAGGTCTTGCACGAGTTTGAATATTTCAAAATATCCCCGTAAATGTCTATTCTAACAACCTTTTTTATTCATTGCTCTTAGAGAGTATATCAGAAATAGCAAAAGCTGAAAAATATTTTTCGAAAATTCGATTTAGTCATAACAACATGAGTGAGAAAATTCGAGTAGTTTTGACCCAGAAAGCAAAATTTGAATATCAGACACTTAGGTGCATGATTATGCCAAAATTTCATGTTTTTCCTTCCATTTTTGCTCATTTCTCGGAAGCAAATTGAGCAAGAACGCTCATCTTTTCATCATTCCACACAGAACTAAGTGGCCGTTTTAGAAACTGAACCAAGAAAAAGTAAGAAAATGTTGGCAGTTTTCTCAAAAAGTCTTGATTTCAAGAAGTTTTAGATTTTTCGAAAGAATGTTTCGAAATTTCACAAGCCCCATTTAAGCCACATAATTCGTTTTGGCATCGTTGGATAAATTGAAAATTCTACTCATGAGTGACGAGTGAATATTTCGTACGAATTATTTCGGTTATAGTGGATGAGCTCCATTACGTTGCAATGAAATTTAATCTTTTGCTCCTTTTCATGCGATTTCTGACGAACGCAGTTCGGACGAAAGCGCATCCAAAAGACGACCGGCCTTAAGGTTCCAGTTTACTGGACTACCATAAATTACCATTTAGGTCAGGTCAGTTAGGTCAAAACTACCATAAATTACCATTTATTATAAGTGGATATTTTAATGTTAATTTTTCTTCTGATAGAGCGCAAAATTTAATGTAATTTCTTGATTCAAAGTTACAATTAAAGATGATAAATAATCCAGAACAAGATAAAATAGAGCGTCCCAATTCTTTTCTTACTACAGTTAACATAAAACCATTGCCACTTTAGTAGCATTAGATGATGATAATGGAAATGCCAGCAAGTACTGCAACTATTAAAAAATGTCAAATGTTAAATAACATATACATTTTACATGAAAATGGAAATTAAATTACATTTTACTTCCTAATCCATTTATAAATTATTAGACTAACAAGAATATTGAAATTATATTATAAACTAGTATTGCCATCGCGCGTTAAACAAATTTAATATTTTATGGATTCTATAAATAATTGTATATACTTTCCTGACTATGTTTCAATTCCAAATCAAAATTAATTCCTGGGTTTCAGTCATTTATTGTCTCTATTTATCAATTAAAATACGTTTCGGTGTATTTTTCCACCATATTTACCGAAACGTATTTTAATTGATAAATAGAGACAATAAATGACTGAAATCCAGGAATTAATTTTGATCTATAAAATAATATGTTAGTTAGTTAAGCACTTTTTTAAATTTTAATTTACTTTCATCGCTAACAAATGGCTTTGAAAAAAAGTCATCCGCAGCAACGACACGAAAAACTGTATTTTTAGATCTTCTGGATTTTTTTATAATTATTTATACACTCAATAATATTGGCCCATATGTCAGGAGTAATAATCAGCAGGAAAACATGATGCTGATCAGCGGTCGAATTAATATCTACTTTCATGTGATTCGTAATTACATCAAATTTGAAATCAGGAAAGAGAACTGTTGTGGCGTCCTAATCCTTCCTAAACATAAGAGGTTTTTTGGCTGATGTGATCTCTATATGGCAAAGCTTCCCATTTAAAGCAAACATTATCTGATAATTTCCTCGTTGTAAACTGAGTGGTTCCAAATAACTGCACTATTTAATTATTCAATACCATAGAAATTAATGAGAAATATATTACAATTACATACTTACACCAACTATTACGAGTACTTCCTTTCAAAAACATATGTAATTGTCGCATTTACAAGTTTACATGTATATACATTTATTAGCGCTTGACATATTAACAATAATAACTCCTAATTAGGACCCGATGGATTAGAACTGATTTTCACGCAATATTTTTGTAAATCATTTTTTATGCTGGGAATTACTTCGGAACCATTGTTACCCAAAATGATACTACAGGAGTTAAATGGTTTACATTGGGTCTAAGATAAGAAGCGCCAGTATGATTCTCCAACTGGAATGTACCTATACGAAGTTGTTTAAATGGGAATAAAGTTGGTCAATTAGAAGACTAATAGCATGACGCTTATAAACTTTGACTAAAATTTTGGTTGCACATTTTTAAGAAAGCTGAAATTTCCGAATTTTGATTACAGGTATTATTTTTTCGGTGGTAATTTGAAAAATGAAGCAAAACCGCCTGCACCTTCTCACAGCAAATGTAAATGAGCGAGGGAGTTTTCTCTTCCGACGTTTCGCCTCCACAAAACCATCAGCAACTTCGTTTTTGAAATTCGATTGTCTAACAGCGAATTCGGAAATTTATTTTTATTCTAAACTAAACTGAACACATGTTAAGGTGTAACAATATTTTTTCTAATTAAACCAATTAGCTCTGGTTGTAACAATGTTATGTATTTCTTTTAAGATATCTTTTTCAATCATCCAACTATCCGCTGCTGGTCCCAACAAAAGTGGGGACCGATACACTTAAACAATAAAATTAAACTAAACCAAAGTAGTATGCATTACCGTGTCCGCTTGTAAGGGGACTTAATAATTGTAGTTTGGATCTCTGGTCGACGAGTTTGGATATCGTATCAATTGACTGTTCAGGTAAGTCAAGTTTCTTGCAAATACCTGTTTCTACTAATAAATTGAATTAGCTAATACGAACGATTATTTACTGTAAGAATGTGAGTGTCTAATTAGCGAGCATGTCGTTGTCCTGTAATATAAAGTTTAAAAATTACATTAGTATTTTCAATTTCATATTTCTAAATTAATTTTAATATAATTACTTATCGATCGGTTTAGTTGTCTTATTATTAATATATTATTGCTCACTAGGATTTGCCAAAAACTCTCCAATTGCTGCTTTTGCTTCTACTTGGGTTTAAATCAAATGCTTCAGAAAATTCAACCGCAAAATTGTATACACATTTTAGAATGTGTTCTTTCGTTAAATGTCCATCTATAGTCCTTAAATGGATAAATCTTTCTATACTAATAATGTACCGCTTATATTACGCATACAGTATATAAATATATTTTTTGTATTCTTTGAAATATTTTATTGAGCCTTTACTCTATTCATTCTTGATTAAGAATTAATACCAAAATCGTCAATTTTTCAACAGAAATGTCTTCCGAAACAGAAACCGCTTCATTTTGGTCACATTCATTTACATAGCGCTGGTTATTTAGCTGTGAGCTGAATTCAAGACACACATTATCGAAATATTCAACAGGTGTTAAGCGGCATTTGATTTGCGCTAGTTATTTAAATGAGAATTCATTCATAGCAAATTAGCGCAGAAATGCAAAAATAAGTATCCACGTTAAATAAATGTTGACAAGAAGAATAGTTGCCAGCATCACAGAAAAAAATAAATTTGAATTTTTACTTCAACTTAATACAGATTGATGGTATAATTGTAAACATTTGTTCGTTTTTAATGCTTTGGTTACTATTTAATTTCTAGAATTTTATTCTTACATGACATCATTTCGAATTTGTTTTTCTACAAAGATTTTCGGTTTGCGTTAGATTTGGTTTAAATACCTCTCGTATCTGCAGTCGTAGAGAGTACTTTTTATGTGTATGTTAATACATGTATTAACCTACAGTTTCTGATTGGTGAAAATGAAAGAATGTGTGAGAAAATGTAGCTTACTGATCTTATTGGTAAAGTAAGAGTGGATAACTATGGATTTTTACAATAATTATGGTATTTTACGGATTTTTTCACCTTTAGTTATGTATGCATTTAATAAAACAAGAATTAAACGTCAGTATTGATCAATGTATTCGGTAAATTGGTTTTACCATACAAATTTGAAAACCAATTTTGAGTTCTACACGTTTTCCAGTTTAGTTATTTTTGCGATTTATTAGTGAACGAACAATGGAGTTAATATTTTTTAAATTGATTCAGTGCCTTGCGAAAGCATTTAATGCACATTTTAATCTAAGCTTTGCTTCATAATTATACCCACACACGATCCAACTTGCCAGGGTATTTCAATATATTGTGACAAAATCATATATCTTGAATTGTCATATATTTGGCTAAAGGATGTGTAGGTGAATTTATATTACTTCTACTCAAAGTTTTCCATAATCTTTTAATTTAAGAAAAATTTAGAACTACTGTTCAAAGAAATAGACGTAAACATTCCCGAAGATAAAGATGCTTATTGGGTACTTTACAAAAGTGTGAAAAAAATATTATATAAGTAAATATTGTTTGTGTAACAAATTCCATGTTATTGATGTACTCAGACTCTTGTATTTTTAGTTTATTAAGAAGATGTGTGTACGTATATTTGCAAAGTGCTTTGAAAGTTTTGTATTATTTATTAACATATTAGCAAAACACTTAAACAGACGAAAGTTTGAATCTTAACATTATAATTTAGTCGAAAATAACTTCAAATTTAGCTTTAAAATTCAAGGAAACATTATCCTCGGTTTCTGGAAGAATAATTAATTTAATTAGATTTCTTGAAGGCTTTCATACAGGAAATACTTCATTTTCATGCAGTTAATAAATTCATGATTGTATTTTTCTCTACATATAGGTAATTGGTCATACAATACATATACTTGTTATTCTGTTGTTTCTTTGTTCCAATTTGATTGTTAGTTTCATTGTCAATTTCAATGTTAATTTTTTTCAAGCTAGTTGAATGTTTTTATCATAAATGCATGAGAGTCCATTACTTTCAATATTTTATTTAAATCGCTTCAGCTACTGGTTCAGTAAAATGAATTTCTAAAAGCAAATATCAAGTGAAGCGCAAACTTGTTACGTATAATAATTTCTTGTAACAAAAGATCAATTATTAGTGGTGGTAAAAAGCCCCGTTTAATCACACGGTCAGCAACTATTGCCAATAATTGGACAAATCCGCGAAACAAAAAAACTTTTTTGCTGCAAACAAGTAAAAATTATCTGGTCGTTCAAGTATATTTAAAAAGACTGTTAATAACAACAATAAGCTTCTCAGCCAGACGATTTATATGCTAATCTTATTACAAATGTGGTTGGTATACCCAGGTTCGAACTGGTTTTGGATCTAGTATACATAAAGATCAAATCCGCACGACTAATTTGTTGGCAACTAATAGTTTTTACCTGACTTAGTTAGGATTCCAAATTTCAAAACACAGTTTTGCTAAATATGTTCTTATTAATTATTATTATCAATAACGTTTTTAATTCGTTGTAATTGTCTGAAAACCAATTTCCTTCAATTCATATGTAAAATTTTAGTATCGTCGACCAATTTTTTTGGGTGAAATGTGATTTTAGCTCTGGAACTGAGGTAGATACTTGAAGAGTATGGCTAAAATGTTTTTTATACATTTTAGTTTACATGAGCTTTTTGTTCTGTTTCGATATATTCTTTTCCCAGAGTATTTCATTTATTAACGTTATCGTGTCTTTTCTAATAGATTTTATCCTCTTCCAGCTTTCATTACTTCGTCCTCCTATATAAGAGTCTATTTTCTGGCACTTTTGCGTTGATTCTACATTTTTCTTGTCACTAATAACTATTCTCACCTTTGATTGTGCGCTCTTGTATTTTTTTTGGAATTCTCTGTTTTTTTAGATAAGTAAATGTGGCTCAGTTTTCTCTTTTCCCCTATTTCTCTGTCAATCTCTCGATTTTTCCTCCACCAAACCCAACTTCTTTGGCGGCTTGATGCATGCTTGATGTAATGCAATCATACTCTTCATTTGGGTTTTGACCTCAACGTGCATTAAGTTTTTCGTTAAGTCGCTTTTTTATAGGCTTTTTATAAGCTTAGTAAGTTGTATCTACAGTGATAAATTTCTTCTATCCCTGTGTTCTCCAGCTATTGTTGGTGAAGGTTTTGGCCCGGATAAGGAAAGAGAATTTTGTGTTCCAGAAAATAGTGTTTACTTCCGCGCGTTTTGCTCGGACGTCTTGGATTTTTAGTTTTGTCTTTTGTTTAGTAAGAAGATAGTAAATTACTGAATTGAGATTTTGGGAAGGCTTGGTCCAGGTATATCTGTGTAAATACACATTTTTGTGTGTTGAAAAAGCCATTTTCAATTTTTTAGTCGAGTAATATTTTTTGTTTTTTAAACACCACCTCCAATTTATCCAAGATATTTTACAATTAAATGCGTTTTGCACAAAAAAAATATTTTATATGTAAATTTGTAAAACTGAGAAAACATTAAAAATTCGCGATATCTTCTAGTGCGGATATATGTGTTTTAATCAAACCAAATTATGGAATTGTCACTCAAAATTGCAAATTGAAAATCGGGAAAAAGTTAGCACTTTTTCAAGTCCAATGTGCATGTTAAATATGCCAAACGCCTCTATAAACCAAGGTTAAAATTTCCATTAATTCTATGATTGAGTCTTTTCTCCCTTATATTTTTGTTCTGATATTTTACAATTAAATGCGTTTTGCTCAAAAAAATTATTTTATATGTAAATTKGAAAAACTGAGAAAACATTAATAATTGGCGATATCTTCTAGTGCGGGTTATGTGTTTTAACCAAACCAAATTATGGAATTGTCACTCAAAATTGCAAATTGAAAATCGGGAGAAAGTTAGTACCTTCCCAAGTCCAATGTGCATGTTAAATATGCCAAACGCCTCTGAGTACAAATAACTTGACGAAGCAGTAACCAGATTACCATCGGGAGTGGCGCTAATAACAAATTCAGTACTTTATAATTTCGCAACCGTTCGACCTATACAGCTCAGATTGAAAATTCATAACTATTTATAGGTGAACGACCCCAAGAATTTTAGATGTTAAACCCATAACAGTATGTAGCAATTTAAATAATTATATTTGCTTATTTTGCATATAGCACATAAATATTGAACACTAACATCTGAAACAGCAATAGTTTTTAGATCAATGCAATTTACTTTTTAATATTACATGGCGGATTGTTAGCTAAATCATTATGAAACGACTATTACATTATATATTATGTGAAATAATAWATTATGTGTCTTTTTCGTCTAMATTGTGATTTTTTGTTAACCACGTAGACACATTAAAATGGAACTACAGCTAATCATAAACATTCATATTCTGCTTCAGACAATTAGGTTTATGCCAACTTTTCTGAAAAATAAGCACGAACTACTTGTTTTGGTTGTTGATTCATTTTTTGCCCGTAAAACTCATTCACGCGGTGACGTTAATGTCGTGACATCTAATGCCGTGACAGCAGTCAATGTCACGGAGTCGTATATCAATCAATTTTGATATGTGAGACTAACGTCACGACACTGTGACATTCAACTATTCAGATAATGACATTGTTTTGGCATTCACGTCACGACATTAATCATTAATCAAAATGAATTCCTGGGCTTCAGTCATTTATTGTCTATTTATCAATTAAAATACGTTTCGGTGTTTTCCACCATCATCAGTTTCTATGTGTAGCGTTGTTGCT